TTACCACTTATCTCAGACCTTCGGATAAGGTATATCGTCGTTTATATATCGTCAGGCATTGTTCCTTCCTTCTGTCAAAATAACTTACAACTCGTACAACTCAAAGTTTCCCTGAGGGAGTATCAGCTGCTCCTCCATCTTCAGTTTGACCTTTTAACCCGATGTTGCTGCGTCCTTGTACGGAAAAGGTGAAGCAAGTCCTATGGAGGCGATTGGTTAATTCTTGTCAAATGACCTGTGGTGCACTTGCTGCATTAGAAAAAGTAGAATTTTTCCTTCATGATGCGATGTGGACGCGCCCATGAAAACAGACATGCTACAACAAATGCTGTGACAGCGTTGCTTTCACTTTTGAATGGGCTTGTTGCGCATCTCCCATCAAATTAAGGAATTTGTGTGAGCAAAAGACATCTAACAGCCCCTAAATCAGTCAGCTGAATCCAACTGAGTAGGTTTGTCAATTGTAGACTTAAGACAATTGACCAAACAGCTTTCAGCCTTCTAAAAGTAGGGCATAATGTTTAAAAAGTGCAAGTAATCTCAGATTAATTAAATCATCGCTTTACTTTCTTGTTCAATAACTTGGTCAAATAATCTGCTGGAATACAGAACCAAAATAACAAAACATGTAGCATAGAAAAATAAAAACTTTTACTGCCGCCTTTAAATGATAATCTGCTTAATGGACAGGCACTTACTTTAAAGCAGGCGAATCCTTCCAGCTCAAGTCCGCTGTAAAAAGGAAGAGGTTGTCCAGATACAGATCAGAATGGCAGACCACAAATGGATCAGTCCTGTCAGTGGGACTGAGTATTAACTGAGTATGAACTGACTATTTTCTGTCACCCATGGTGGACTGTACGACCTAAAGCAACATTCAGCAAAGGGAGAGTGGAATCACTAATTCATGAAACCCCAGATGTGTACTTTTGTTATTATTTACTGTGTTTAAAGCACTGACATACAGTCAGTGGATAAGCATCATCATTGTTCTCCAGATACAGTTCTGTTTTAGCAGAAGACCCACCCCCCTCCATGCATAAGAGCATATACTGTCAATGGTGTGTGTGTGTGTGTGTGTGTGTGTCCTTCCCGAAAAGTCTTGAACTTGCTGAAGTTTCCAAGCAACAGTATAAGTTCAAACAACCAAGATACATTTGCATTTTCTTTTTTTGTTTCTCCACATTTCCCTCACTCTGGAAGAGGCTGATCTTTATTTCAGTGCATACATCCAAAAGCTGTTCTGATCAGTTTCACAGTAAATTTTATTTATTTATTTGACAGACCAAACATTTTGCCCATGTCTATGATCTGATGTTCGGATCCTTCATTTAAATGATGCAGCTGTGCCTGACTATTGGCTCTTCATTTCCTTTATATTCATGTTGAGAGTGGAAGAGGACCACTAAATTGGTGCATCAGATTTTGGCAGAATGCAGGAGATTAAGTGTCTGACACTGAAAATTTAATGGGGGAGGATCCCCAGACGCCCAACTTGACTTGTCCCCATGGCATGAGGCCGCTGCCAAGGCGTCCCTTATTTTTCCATGCTGAAGGTGGCAAACCCAGTTGTGTTACTACTTGCCTGATATAGGAACTGACAGCTTGTTACAGTCTGCTTCCAGCTCGGTGGACTGGGTGGATGCGGAGGTCTGGACACAGCCAATGTTGTAGCCACTCTAATTTTCAGTGGGACTACAGGTGCATTTAGTAGATAAATCTGTTACTTTTGTTCTTCCAAGAAGGTCTAGCTAACATTAGCAGGTCAAGCAGCTAAATCAGCCTCTGAAGAAGAGAGTTTCGGGCATCTGAGTTTACTAATTAGGTTAAGCCTGTATTAAAACATTTAGTTTGTCCATCCATGTGTTTCACATAAATGGATCACAAAATTGCCTTTGTATTATTGACAAAAACTGTAATATATTTAATCATACACAGATCACTTTTTATTGTATTATTTTCATCCTCAAAGAAACAAATATTTCTTGTCATAGTGAACGCTGGCAGTGTTGGTATTTGCATTACTTTGTAAGGTGTTTGTAGGTTATATGCTGCAGAGGAGATACACTGGGTGCAACCTTTAAAAGTATGCCATGATAGGAGAGGAAAAAGAGTGTTGATATGATTTATTTGACCATGTTTTGTTAAATAGAAGGCAGGCTGTTAGGACATATAATATTGCAGTTTCTCTGCGCAGTCTTCAGAATGCTGACAAAGAAAAAAAGTCTAGTAAATGTGTAATGTGACCTTGTCTATTCTTGGTCTGAGGTAATGAATGAGTTTGCCAAGTGAGTCTTGGAAAGCAATATGAGGAATCAATTATTTTTGTATTTTTCTGTCGTGGAAAACTGACGAGCTGTATAAGACCTGAATTTCCGATTCCTCAGCCGCGGTGCTGCTGTTGATACAGTCATAATCAACCACCTTATGAGAACAGCTCAGTTTGCCTGCGCCTCTCTCAGTCAAGGTCAAACAAGCTCTAACTTTGCATTTCAATGTCCGTCTCTCTCTCAGACCATCTCCAAACATGAATCATTTCTCAGGATGCATTTGTATTCCTAATAATGTAATTTGAAAGTAATTTCAAACCCCCAAATCTACACCATTATTGATGACTATGTCAAATGACCTGCAGGTACACGAGCACAAAATCTGCCACACACACACACACACACACACACACACACACACACACACACACGTGCCAGTCGATTTTACCAATTCTACCTCATTAATTCAAACAGTCTGACTTTCTAAACATCATAAATCACAGCAAGACTAGCAGCCCAACCCCTCTCACCTTTTCTCTCCCTCCCACTTTTTTCTCAACCTTATCTTCCCTTCCATCTCTCTCTCTATGTCATCTATTCCCTCTTCAATCACTCTCTCATTTTCTCTCTCTTCCCCTTGCTTCTTTGGGAGGTCCAGAAAGTTTGTAGTATGCAGTCTAAATAGTGCTCTGATGGATTGGCTGTCTTCCACCGGCCTGAAGATTAGCCCAAGGGCAAACCCACTCCTGTTTCCTGGGTGCCATGCTGAAGATGAATAACTGTTTATTAACCCGATGCAGAGTGACTCCTTCCCCACCTCATTATTGGGAAGAAAAAAGTAAAAAAACCCAGGCTGCTCAAGTTGGCCAATGTGGCACTCTCTCTCCCTGCCTCCCTGTCTCTGTCACTCTTCCTGTCTCTCTCTCCGTTCCTCTCTTCCTTTCTCCAGCAGATAAACCAGCAGCCTGATGTAATGTGACAGTGTGCGTTTGGTTCTTGTTTGCTCCCTGACAACCCAGGAAATTGGCTTTTCATCTTACAAAAAAACTCTGCACTCTGTATATGAGAGGACATTCATCTTATTATGAGGGGCCGAGGGTAATTGGAGGTTTATGCGTCCATTTAATGGCAACGTATTGAGGGCCAGATCTACGAAGGCTTTTGTGGCGTTTCAGTTGCAGATGTGGCGCGTTTGGCCCCAAACATACGTGTTGTTCGTTCAAAACAAGTACACTCAGCACTCAGGAGTTGCAGTTTGAACGTCATTTTAGCAAGCGTTTGCACCTTTCTCATTATTGTTCATGCATTTGAGGAAGGATTGTGCAAATGATCTGTGGAGAAACAGTATGTTAACAGAGGCTTGTTATGGAATTTATTAAAGATCCAGTGTGTAACATTTAGGATGATTTATTGACAGAAATATAATATTCATAAGTATGTTTTCATTAGTGTATAATCACCACAATATAAGAATTGTTGAATTTCCCTTACCTTAGAGTGAGATGTTTTAATCTACAGAGGAAGCAGGTCCTCTTCCACGGAGGTGGCCATCTTGAACCACCATGTTTCCACAGAAGCCCAGAAAGGACAGACTAAACACTTTCTGCATTTTTCACGGGGTTTGTGGCCACCAAAGTTTCTCCTACACACCTGGAAGGCCAAGTAGTATTCATATGTTCGCAATCTGCAACTTCACCGCTAGATGCCGTTAAATCCTACACACTGGACCACCAAGGTCAGTTATGCTTGGAATATGCTTTTGAAAAGTGGGCATAAAAATAGCAAGAAAAACGTTTGTAGTCAACTCAGTGACAAAGTGAGCAAACCACAAACATATCTAGAGATCTGCCATAGTCAGGACCACTTAAGTTTAGTCTGTCCAAATCAAAGCAGTTTTGAGACAGAGTCAAGATCAAGAAGATCTACAGTAAATGGTGGTTGAGTCTCAGTCAAAACCGAGCTTAAGACAAAACAGTTCTTGTTCAATATAAGTTTCTGGTAAACTCCTATAATGTTTGAAGCTAATCTTCTGTAAAAGGTGCCAACACTAGGAGTAGGCGCAAATGGGTGCCATTTAAAAAAACAACTTTAAGCCACTGATCCACAAAACGTCTGTCCATGTTCCTGCTTCATACTGTCTAACTACTCTTCATAGTGAAAGTTCAGTATTTGTTGAAATGTGTTAATTCAACTTTATGGCCTGTAAAACGCAACACAATTCAACAGCACCACAAACTAAAGCCTGTGAAATAAGTACATTAGTTTTAGTTAGGTAGACCTAATAAACAGGTAATCAGTACTATCCTTGAGGCAAAAGAAAAGTTTGAAATGTGATAGGATTGAGAAACAGTGTGCATTTGCCCTGTCTTCAAGAAATTAAGTTTATACAACTAATTTGCAACAGCCAATAAGTTTTGAGGGAAACATAATGGCAACCGAATTAGGTTTTCTATTAACATAATAAGGAAATGTTGTTAACGTTAAAGTACCTGGTAGGTTGAAAAAAATGTAGTTCATTTGTTTTCAACCAAAATAGGCAATACTATCCACTCCTAGAGACTACAGCAGTACGCAAAAGTCAGCAGTGACTTCAGATTTTATGAACATTTAACTGAAATTATGATCTTTCTCTAACCTTAACTAAAGTGCTTTGTTGCAGGAGCATGGGCATGGACCCTGAGCTGTGGTGTTACAGTCAATGGCCAACCACCTCCTAGTGACTCCATTGCGTTACATAATTGCACTGTTTTATTCACTCAAACAAACATTGTGTCTGAACATAATCCAGGCAGATATTACATCGTTACCACAACATAATTATGAAAAAAATTAAGTAATATACAAATGTAATTTCCAGGAGACAGGGTTAGCTTAGCAATGTTTGCTAAAGTTTAAAGTTATATCTCTAAAAAAAATGTGCATCTCTGTATGGAAATGAAAGATGAGTGACAGCAGAGCAGTCTGCAAGTGAGACCAGTGGGTGATTTGGGGATTATGCCTTAATTATACTTGAATTTGAACTTTGAAGTTTAATAAACAGTGAATTCACTACATATTAGAAACTGATTAGACTTTTTACAATGAGCATTTGGCTGAATTTCCCTAGTGAAACATCCATTATAACAACACACACTGGCCTTGTGCCTGGACTGGGTTTTCACAAGTCAAAGACAACCTGTTCTGTAATATACTCATCAATGTGTTATTTCATAGTACACATGTTATAACAATTAGAGTTGAAAGCAGGAAAAGGATCCCAAATAGATAAACCACTTTGTTTTTACTTAAGCAAGCTGAGCACAGAAGAACTGCTGAAAATGACACAAGGTTTACTGACTTTCAGTGAGAAATTAGTGAAGGAAATGTAGAATCATATCAAGTATCATCCTGGTAAATTTTCAGCTCTCATCATTGGCCTGCAGAAACCTTGTAACTTCAGTCACCGTGGTAACTGGCGTCTGACATTGGACCCACGTGGGGGAAAAAACAGTTTCATTGACCTGAGACTAAACCAAACCATTGAAAACATTTTTAAAACCAAAATATAATCAACCATGACTTACTGAGAGTTTGTAAAAGTGGAGATAGAAGGGTTTTGCAGAACAGTTACAGTATGCAAGTACCGTTGTGCACTGTGAATAGTGGCTCAAAGTTTCACAACACCAAATCAAAACAAGTAACTGCAGAAATAGTGTGACTGGCATTTACATGGAAAAGCTACATTACCACTGGAGAATGTGTCTGTTGTTCTGTCTTGGTAGAAATATTGAAATATAAAAAGCAATACAGCCTTCGCTGGGAAATCAAACACAGAAACTAAATGTGCTTCTTATCTTAACATTGACTCTCCATATAAGGCATGAGTTTGTTTTCTTATAAACATTTTTTTGGTCTTTGCACTCGGTTATCTAAAAAGCAATGTGCACTTGTTCACACCTGGGGTTAGATGGAGCATTATTTACAGCGCTGTATCCGCAGACCTTTTTGTTACCACATCAGAAGATTTCTTTATGATTTTCAGCTCAGAGAAAAAAATAACTCAACATTTAAGATATTTTGCCATTCAGTTTGCCGATGTGTTCACCTTCTTTTGGTATAGACACACCACCAAGGACAGAACATCACTAACAGGCTTCTCACTCCGATGTTAAGCATAGATACTTACAAGTTTTCAAATGCCAGGTAAAATGGAAGGCGGGGATTAAAAAGAAATATTCAAAGACAGTAACAGGGTTCAGGATTATCAAATTTTAAACTGTTAAGCATAACATAACAACTCATTCACCACATATATAATATTATCCCATTTTCCCTTCCCACGAGATTGTTCTGTAGCCAAAGAAAATAGGGTTAGAAAAGAGGAAATCCTCTTCCATTAACTCATTTTTGAAGACCCCTTACAAGTTCCTCTTTACATATCAAAATCGCCTTTGTCTTTGCAAGGCAGAGGTCTAAAGTATACTTAGTGACATCGTCTCTCTGAGGTTCCAGATCACAAAACCTGACGGTCTGAGAGTTTTTTAGCTTCATCCAGTCGAACAGTTTGCCAAAAGCAGGGCAGTAATAGCAAAAGTAAGCCTCCAGGCTAGTACAGTAGCCTCTGAAAGAAAGTCCAAGTATCAGCTGTTCTCCCAAAAGTCCACAACGTGATTGTTCGTCAAAGGACTCTGGTAGCAATTTATGATAAAAATGTGACACCAGAAAACTAGCCAAGGGTGGCCATAAGAAAAGCCCAGCAGTCAGCCTTTAGAGTTGGATGTTCTATTAATCCAGACAATTTAGGTCCAAGAGGCCAATTTACTGTAGTAGGACCTCCTCCGCTCAGTCTAGGGCTGTCCCTGAAGCACTTTCTATGTGTAGTATCACTCCTGAACCTGACTTGTGTGCTAAGCTAGCTAGCTGCACAGCTGGGCCAGCTCAGGTTCAGGAGAAGCATTGGGAAGCTTGGAGTTGAAGATCTGCAGAGAGTCCTTGATGCGTGCCACCTCTCCAGCCGACAGCTTGAGCCGGTGGCGCAACAGACAAGAAAACAGGTCAAGTGGCTGCGGTGCTGGTGGAGACAGCCGGTTAATACGGTCTCTCATCTCCAACAACATCAGAAACGCAGCGTCCTGCGTACCCTGCGTGTAGGGGTAGTCCAGCTGGAGAATCAGATCCTTGATGCCCTCAGGGTCAAAGTGCATGCTGTATCCAAACACTTTCAGTGTGTTGATCTTCATATACCCCAGGTTTGACGTGTGGTCATCCAAGTCCAACGGTTCATAGAAGAGAGTCTCATTCACTGTTGGATCATCTGTGACGATGCGACTTCGCAGGTAGATATGCACTGTTTCAAAGAAGGACTTCCATTTGTTGCCCAGAGACAGTGTCCAGTTGTAACACTGTGCCGTGACGACAGCGTCCAGTCGAGTTCTCTCCCAGTCAGGGAATTCAGGCTGGTTCACCGGCATGAACCAGCTCTCCGAGTGACTTCCTCCAAAAGGATTCACATAAATCGCAGGTACGGGCTCCAGTGTTGAATTCTTAGTTGAGCATATCTGGAAAGAAATGCCCATCAGCATGTGGATGAGATTGGACTTGTTTTTGTTACTCTTGAGTGTCAGCAACATCCTCTTTCTCCAGGCAGGGTTGAACCAACTCCCTAGGCGGACGTCGTTGCTGATGTAGATGGCGTGGACCTCTATTCTGCTGTCCAGTCGCTGAAGCAGGTACTTCACCTAAAGATGGATTAATAAACTGTGAGATCACATTCATAATAATATATATACATGTATGCCCTCCAGTCTGTAACACAGACTTTCTGATCTGAACATCATCTTTCTAAGAAAGCTGTTTTACAACTTTTTTTTTTACTGGCTACTCCTCGTAAATTGCAAACTGGCCTACTCAGTGGAGTGACCTATTAATGTACATCATATTTTAAAACAAAGAATGCAACTTGATCAAAATGGAATTGATTATAAAATGACACACAGAATCAGAAGAAGCAGAAGAAGAAGAAGAAAAATTTGTTCTTTAAATGTCTGTATTAAATTGCTGCTACCTGCCTTTGTAAGAAGCTTTTATTATTAGATTGTGTGCATAACTTTGCATGTTTAGTATGTTCTGAGTCTGAGACTTGGTGAAATAGTGAAAGAGATAAATAAATATATTTAATTTACATTCTCACTTATTACAGGGTCAACTTATGATGCCATATGTCATGTTTGTTTCTATCAGGGATAGTAGAATTTGTTGTTGCACTGTAGCATCTATGTAGACTTACAATACAAACATTTAGTTTGTCATTTTATGGTGTATTTTCATTTGCTTTTACTATTGTTATCAGAGGTAAGTATCAATGTTTTTTTTTTTTTTTTTTTTTTCATGAAGTTTAGTGTAGAGTGTAAAAGTAATGTACTATCTTGTCCAAAGATGAATACAAATATAAGAAGCACTGAGAACCTCAGCATCAGGCATGTCCAAGTCCAAGTTCAGATAGTGGTCCAGGGATGCGGCGATGCTTGGCCGGCAGGATCCAAGATGCAGAAGGTTGCCATGGTGACAGGCTCCGCAGCGGGTTGCGTTGTCAGTGGCACAAGAGGAACAGGAGGTGGATGAGGTGCCCACAATGCAGGGAATGACTCCCTGGCAGGTGGGCTGCTCCACAGGGCAGATACAGCTCCTCACCTCTTCTGAGAAGAAGCCTAGCACTCCGTGCTCATTGCAGTAGAGCAGAGACTGGGCCTTGCTCAACCAAAACCCAACAGGCCTGTAGAGGAGAAAGAGAAAAACACAATGATGCAGTTGGGAGTAGAGTATAGTATATTCCAACACAAAACACAGAGTAGGTAACTGTAAGTAATTTGAGCAGAATTTTTTGTTGAAAGTTTCAAGTCTGTTTCACTTCTGACCACACTCAACATCCCTGATGGTTGGGTATTGCTTGGTCCTTGGTGTACAAAGGGACATGTGAATATTGTTTTGAGACAGAAATGTGAACCTATCCTTCAAGGGGGGTTACATGCTGTAGTGAAATATTTCTAGGTAAACAGTCAGGGGCAGTAACTTCCCAGTCTTGTTGTCAAAGTTAAGGTGCCAGGCAAGCAGTGGTATAGTTGCAAATGCTCTGCAGAGAAATACTCGGTGGATGGTTAAACCATTGTTCATTAAGAAATAGTTAGTCCATATAACTCCCTTAAAACCACAACTTGTTGGTTTTATATTTGTATTTGTTTATGAATCAAACAAAGAAGTTGTTAATAAGGGACTTTATTTGGAGACACTGAGCTGTTTCCCCCTAGTCTTTATGCAAAGTTAGCCTAATCACCTCTCGGCTACAGCTCTATACAACCTTTTATCATTTGAGTTTTTGAAGAAAAGTAAATAAATAGAAAATAATTTGTGCGGGAATACCAACTGAGCAGGGCGACCAAAAAGAGACATTCTTAGTAAGCAGTTGCCATGCTTTGTGGCAAGAAAGAAGAGCAGGGACCTAGAAGTGGCCCTGTCCATGTCCTTGAGCTGGAGGTGGAGAAACTCCAGCTGAAGAAGGAGAAGGACTAAAGCCATCTGGAAAGAAATGTGTTCATTGCAAAAAAAATTTAAAGGGCAGTTTGCCCAAAAAGATGGAGTCATTCTCAAAGAGAAGGTGCACTGACCTTCAGGAACAACTGGGACCGGCAAACAAGGAGCTAGATACCTCCCCACCACCAATTATTGTATATCCATCAATGTAGCCTTGGACAAGCTTTGTGACATAGTCAAGGTGTACAAAAAGAACCTGGAGCTAAAGGATAAGCTCGTCAACGTGACCTGACAACTGACCATCCAGCGCGGACAAACTGGAGAGGAAGGACCACATAATAGATGAAAAGTAGAAAAAGCATGAGGAGTTAAAGCACAGTATATCACAGCTGCTACCTCCAGAGACATTATACTTCATCCCCAAGTGCCAGTGGGTAATCAGAGAGCAAAGTAAAAAGATCAAGGCATTAATTGGACAGGAACCGGATCCGAGTAACAGCTGAGGAGTACAAGAGTGAGTATGAGAAATCAGCTGGCGAGGAAGCAGCCAGCAAAAAAGTTGTACTTTAATGGGAGAATGCAGGACATGGATTTGAGGGAGGCCTTCAAGAAAAATGAAATTAAGTAGCTGACTGAAGATAAATCAGGTCCCACCCAGCTCCATATCTTTGTTGGTAAACAGTCGGGTGCTCTAACTTCCCAGACTTTTGTTGTCAAGTTAGGGTGCCAGGCACAACCACAACTTGTTTGTTTTACGTTTGTATTTGTTTTAAAAATTAAACAAAGGAGTTGTTAATAAGGGATTAGTAGATCATTTTTTTAACTTTGGTTGGAGACAGGCGAGCTGTTTCCCCCTAGCCTTTACGCAAAGTTAGCCTGATCATCTCTAAACTCCAGCTCTGTACAATCTTTTCTCATTTGAGTTTCTGAAGAAAACAAATAAATAGAAAATAATTTGAGCCGGAATACCTACTGAGCAGGGCGACCAAAGAGAGAGACATTCTTAGTAAGCAGTTGGCATTCTACAAACATGAATGCTTTGTGGCAAGAAAGAAGAGCAGGGACCTGGAAGTGGGCCTGAGCAGACGGGAGAAAGAGCTAATTGAGAGAGTCCATGTCCTTGAGCTGGAGGTGGAGAAACTCCAGCTGAAGAAGGAGAAGGACTAAAGCCATCTGGAAATAAATGTGTTCATTGCAAAAAATCTAAGGGGCAGTTTGCCCAAAAAGATGGAGTCATTCTCAAAGAGAAGGTGCACTGACCTTCAGGAACAACTGGAACGGGCAAACAAAGAGCTACATACCTCCCCACCACTAATTATTGTATATCCATCAATGTAGCCTTGGACAAGCTTTGTGACATAGTCAAGGTGTACAAAAAGAACTTGGAGCTAAAGCATAAGCTTGTCACCATGACCAAATAACTTACCATCCAGCGTAGACAAACGGGAGAGGAAGGATCACATAACAGATGAAAAGGAGACGCAGCATGAGGACCACAGTATGCCATGGCTGCTACCTCCAGAGACAACAGATTTGATCCCCAAGTGCCAGTGGGTAATCAGAGAGCAAAATAAAAAGATCAAGGCATTAATAGGACAGGAACTGGATCCAAGTAACAGCTGAGGAGTACAAGAGTGAGTATCTGAAATCAGCTGGCGAGGAAGCAGCCAGCAAAAAAGTTGTACCTGAATGAGAGAATGCAGGACCTGGATTTGAGGTAGGCCTTCAAGAAGAATGAAATCAAGTAGCTGACTGAAGAAAAATCAGGTCCCACCTAGCTCCAAATCATTACACATGCAGTCAAGAGAAAACAGGGTCACACCAAACCCTAAAATCAAATCTGGTCCTGCTCCCAACCATCTCCAATAAGTTCTAGCTGACATCGGAAGTTAAATCTATTCACACCTGTACACCTTTCCAAAACGCTCACATTAAATCAGTTACAAGAGAGTGACAAGAGAAGACAATTACAAATAACAATGGCGGCTCATAGAGAGGTTAGTGAAGAGGTAACATATAGCATATATCAGAACTGGAAAGTATTTCTTAATTGAAAGAAGAGCAGAGATTCGTTCTAATGTGAAACACGGCGATAGACCGATGATTCATCCAGTCACCAGTTATTTAAAAAAATGCCCAGCAACAAGCTGATGGCAGCTTCCTGTGGGATTTCCCTCACTGTCACTGTTATTGACTGTACATACAGTATATTACATTTGAAATAGTCTGCACTGTTAAGGGATGTGCTGCAGGAAGCTGTCTAAACAGACAGTTGTAGTGATCTTCTAGACTACTCAATATTTTCTGTACATCACTGTAAAGTGATTGTGTTTGTTTTTTTGTTAGTAAGTGGTGGCATCCTTCCCATATTTTACATATTTTCCTGTTTTAAAAATATTCTCAGAAGTAGAAATTGAGTTAAAAATTCAAAATCTTGGATTAGTGGCTTAAATGAGGATGTCCCTAGATTACACTGGTGTTTACACCATATGAGTCCAATTTTCCATAGCTGAAAATCTAATTCAGTCAATATTGTTTATAAATGGGATTATTTAGGTGTTTGGTATGACAGTGAAGATGAAAAGGCAGACATACATAAATTACCATCCACTTTGGTGGGTGCGCTAACAGTAGAAACAAGTTCGGACTGAAAATTGGCTCTGCAGAGATTCTTTCCCCAGGTTCAGGAAATCACATACAACATTGCCCAAATGCTCCGGCAATTCCTTCCCCTCAGGCCTTTGTAAATAGACAAAAATGAATGATGATAAAACAAATGGATTTGTGCAGAAGAAATAGGGAGCTTTTGCAGCTGAGCAGCCCCTGATAACTTGTTGTTGCTGGTACGAACTGGGTTAAGACTCTGGAGTGACAGGGTTGAGACGGAGAGAGAGACAGAGAGAGAGAGAGAGAGAGAGAGAGAGAGAGAGAGAGAGAGAGAGCAGGGCGACACAAAGGTGACTGAGGGAGAGAAATAAAGACAGAAAGCGAGTGCAAGAGGAGGGAGATGGAGTGATGGGTACAGGGAAAGGACTGTCAGGGAAATTAAAGTCCTCTGTAAACAAGTGCAGAGCTGTCAGACTGGGAGAGGACTTGATTACAGCATGCCACAATACCACGTACCCTACCCCACAAAGGATCCCACCACCGGTAACTAGACCCTTCATCTCTCTCACACTTTCCCTTTCGTAGCCTCCATCCCGTCATCACATCTCTTTTCCGTCTCCCACATTCTTGTACTACCTTTCCTTCCTCTGTGTCTCTTTTTCTCCTGCGTTTTCTCTTTCTGACTGTACACATCTCTTTTACTCAGCTTGCCTCCCTCTCTTAACACCTGCTTTTCACAAGTCTTCATTTTCCCCTTCCGCACGGCAACAAAACTGCCACGTAATGACAGCTGAGTGAAGCTCGCGAGGGTACTTTTCTCAGAAGTCAACCACAGGTGTAGAATTCACTCAGGCAAAGGGAGTCAGTTAGCCTGTCAAATTATTAGTAGATGGTGGTTTCAACAACAGTGATGCTCTTTTCTTTGTCTGTTCAGCTGAGGAGGCAGAGAGTGTTCATAAGTAGGTATATTTCCACATTAAGCAGTATGCCTAAAAATTACATCCATATTGGACAGTTCTGCACATCAAGATTTATATCCAGCATTCAGTGCCAATATAGGAAGTAGTATGCTTGCGACAAGTCATTACGGCAGTGGTTCCCAACCTAGAGGTCACGATCCCACTTGGGGTTTTAAGGGGTGTCAGAAAACCTCAAAATGCTATTTTACACAAACTTCCTGCAGTTTATCAGTGGCTCTGTCAGGGGTCATTAGTTTACTCAATGATAGAAAATGGGTCCTAAAGGAAAAAAGGTTGGGAACCACTAATGTCATTTGTACATGGCCTCTAGACACATAAATGTGTTTCGTTCTGACACATGATGACACAACATGATTTTATTTGAAAAATAAATCTGTTTAATGATTTGTCAATGCTATGGTTAAGGTTTGATAAGGTTTAAACACAATTAGCTGTCTAGGCTTGGGGAAAGGTTGAGAAATCATTAGTATTTAGTTAAGTTCAGTTACCATGGGCCTTCGTCATCATGGTTACAATCAGAAATACATGCAGTTCCAGGATGATTGCAATTCTGCTTCAAAAGCAATGTTGACTGTTGGCTGGAAACAGAACATGAACAGCATTCTCAAATGTTAAAGTCAGATGTTTAAGTGACTCATCCACTGACCTCCTCACAAGCACTCTGTATGTGTCTATTAAAACTTGAAAAGTAGTTTATTGGCACTAGCTGACGTGACTGATGCTAACATTATGGTTGGGAGGACAGTCTCTCTGCATGTTATGCAGCGAGGCCAAAACTAAGAGCTAATTGTGCTAAAAAAATGTCTTATTAAGTGTTGTCTAACCACGTTGGGAAGCAAATTTGCTCATAGTTGAACGGCCACACTGAAAGGCAGTGTGAAAAGTAGGGTGCCATAGAGAGGGAAGAGATTGTTTAATATTGGGCTAACATTTCCAGCTTTGTCTCCCAGTGTCTCCTGTAAGACATTTATATTGCTGTGTTCAGCTGCAAACACAAAAAGTGAAACCAATAGAGCATGCACACCAGAGACTACTGCCTGCTGAGCCAGCTAACATGTGGTTTAGCCCTCCACAAACTTGGTGAAAACATTATTTAAATGTGCGGCTCTTCTAGACTTTTCAAATGTTATTGGACCGAATGGATAAAAAAAAAAATTTTTGGACCGCTGTGCATCACGTGAGTTGTAATTACACGGTTGGGCCACTACGTCAAATTTTCTTCAAAACCCAGTGCACTTCCTAGGGGCTTGGTCCAAATACACTAAGATATTAAGGACAAAAACACCAAGGGAGAGTGTGCATTGTATATATAACGGGCTGTCGGACAAATGGGCGTTCAATCCAATAGGACATTTTTTAGGCTGTTGGGGTTTTAGAATAATGGACGGTCGGAACAATGGGCAGTCCCTGAGGATGCAATAAAGGCTGATAGAAACTTTGCATTGTCTATTTCTGCTTCTACTACAGACAAAGCATTTATATCATGCTGCCACACAATTTCAAATAACTCCACCCCCCAGAAAGCCAAAGAAGAGCTGAGGTGTTGGGGGGGGCTCTGCCTCTGCACCATAGCCGCCCACCTGATGTGATGGCAACATCCCTGGTTCAAGTCTATATGGGGGGCATTGTTGCCCGTCACTCCCCTCTCTATGATCATAGCAGCTGATAAAACACACCACAGGGTATTATTAATTAAATAGAACCAAACAAACACACACCCACAAATTGCAGTCCCTAACTTCTGCTCATCAGTTTCCTGTTTTTCAAGTCACGAAAGGTACCAGGCTTTAATCAGGCAAAAGAACAAGTGGAACATTCCACACTGCAAAATATTACTGCCACAAGTCTACTGTTGTCTGTATCTGCCCACTGTCTGTGCATATCTGATTAATGTATTCATATTCATTTACACCCCTAAGGGAAAGACCAATACTAGACACTGGATTTGTTAGGCTACACTTATGTAAAAGCTTTCAGCAACTGCTTGAGTCATTAAAGCCTTAAAGTTTCAAAGCAGATTTTGCTAATGTAAAATGCTGATGATTTAATTGCTTTTGCAAGCAGTTGTTGCTAGGCCACATTATTGACACTCCATCTGGGAGTCTTGTGGGTCATTGATACAGATGATCCATTCAGTACAGGCTACATCTATATATATATATATATGTATGTATATATATTTATATTTCTGCTAATGGTCTGTCATGATGCCCAATAGTTTTACATTGTAAAACATATTTACTTCTGTACAATGTGTTGCAACAGAGACAGCCCAAAGCTTAAACAGCTCAAATTGCAATGCCAGCAATCTACAAGTACATGCTTTGGATATAATCTGCTAAAAGGGAGTAAGTGTGTACCCCACTGGCATGTTTTCAACCTTCCTATGTGTATAACTTTTGGGGTTTTGCTTAATTCAAAGCTGAGTTCTTTCCAGACAGATAGCCCTGGGTTTTCCCAGTGTGCCCGCTTGAGGCGCACTGTTAAGAGCCTACAGCTGCAATGAATCAGCACAAAGCAGATGCCAAAACTCCCCATAATGACAAATTATGCCTTCCACATTTAGTTTGTTTTCTGTCAATGTATTCGAGTGGGCTACCTCTCTCGGGGCAGACTGATGCGAGGCTGTTTGGGGCAGCGTTTGCTCAGGGTGAACAGCTTCCTGATGATCTTCTGGGCTTTGCCCAGGACCAGGGCAGTGCTGGACTCCAGCTGGGCGTAGCGCTTCTGGAGGGACAAGTCAGCCGACCAAAACTTGGCGATCATGGACACATTCAAGAACCGGTCAGCGGGCAAGCGCTTCAGGAAGGCTTTGAATTCATCTGCAGGGAGTTTAACAGAGACAGGGAGGGGGGTAGAAGAGGAGAAAAGGGAAGGTGGAGAAAATAAGAACAAAATTAGACCCTCTGAAGTAATTTATATGTTAACACTATCATTTTGGAGCACTACAAACCAATTCACCACAGTCTATTTTATCCCTAGTGGCATGCATAGATAATGACTGAGGAGCTGAGGGAGTTCCATGTGTCATTAGAATACGAAAAAAGCTGTTATGTTCTAATGAACTGCCATTACAGAGTAAACACCTGTGCTTCAATCTGCAGTTATACTCATTCACCTCACCATTAGAAGCTCATGGTATTCACGGTGGCATCATTTGCAACATTGTCATTTTGAAACACTACTTATCTGACGATTGATGGCATGGTGTCACATACAGATGGGCATTTTCATTTATATCATAATTCTTTCTCTAGAAGCCCAAAAGAGAAAATCCATAATCACAAACTGAATAGACCAATAAAAGCATGTGGTAAAATGGTGAGAGGTTCTCTCCTATCTCGATTGTGTTCCTGCTAAAATGCAAATGCTCCAAAAATGGTTATGGATGTTATTCATAGCAAATTCGGCAGCTGTCACAGCAAGTGTGTGTCAAAACCAAACAACGGAAAAAGCAATGTAAATCCATATTTGTTAGTTAGAGTCAGTTAAAGAACTATCATTTCACATAAACCTAACATCACCTCTGCTGCCTCCAAATACATGTCAGTGAAAACCATTAAAGCTTCCGAACCAATGTTATTTACAATGACAGTAAGCATGGACATTAACTGTAGTAAAATCAATATAAATGCTGAAACTGTTGTTGAAATTGTAGAGCCCTAAATGGCAGCTCTCCACAGGTTAGAGCCAGAAACATCTCCAATAATTGATCACACACTTTGGCAAATGTCCACGTAGATTAGATTAGATTTAGGCTTTATTGTCTCAGAGAGAGATTGAAGACTGAGGCAAGCTCTCCTCCATTTTAAGGTCTTGTATCTCCGTCCATTTGGCAGTAATGTCAAGAGATGATTGAGGGAGAGATCAGTGTCATTTGCTTTAGTGAGTGCTATGCGAGTGATGGCTCAGTCATTCATGTCGGAGAGTTTGGGAGGGGGAAGGCAGCGGACTTTAGAAGCAGTATGTGTGATGATGGGAAGTTGTTGGAGATGGTCAACATGATGAAGAAGGGAGGGGGGCAGTACTTTTGTAACGGCAACAGACAGTGGTCTGAGTTTATGGATAACACTCAGTCTTTTGCTTTTGACACTTGTCCAGTGGAGGTGTGTTTAATGTGCTACTGCCTTTTGTTTTGCCCATACTTAAGTGAGTGCAGGATACAATAAACATGTCTGCTACAGCCTGTTGCACCATGTGTAAATTTTAACCTAGCTTAGTTTAAATATAGTTAGGGGAGTTGTAGCATTGTTTATGTGTGATGCAGCCATCCTCACCGTAACATAAAACATAAAGGAAAGCCAGAAACAACTGATTAATTAATAATGACTCACTAATTAGGTAACAGTCACCTTGTATCATAATACCTAAATGTAAACCCCCAAATTCTGCTTCCTTTCCCTAGTCACTAGAAGCACATTCACGGCTGTTTGGGTCAGGCTACGGCTACGTAGCAGGCCACAGACGGCAGAGTCGAGACGTGGGTTTTATAGAAGCAGTGGTAAAGCTGCCTGCAGATACATTATCTCCTTCCAGATCAACCAGTAGCAAAATTATATTATAATAGCCAGGTTTTAAGCAGTAAAGGGCGGTCACAATACAATTTAGGATTCAAATACTAAAGTTCCAGATTTGGACCTGAATCAATCTACCATAAATACCCATATACTTAGGTTTTCATCAAAAAATAAATAAATAAAAAAATATTTCTGGGGTTTAGTTACTCTTTCATAAAACCATCTTGTAGATCTTTTAATTTCCATAAATACAGCATTAACACAGTAGCATCTGTTTTACTAATAAAAACAAGGACATTTATTTTTCCGGTAAATGCTAAAACATGCTGTAACAGTAGCACAAGTAGAGAAGATAAAGTCACCTACTTGACTAAGTAATGTAGAGTTAAATATGAATGATAAAATAATCACATATGTGTAAAATTTGATAACATTAGGCAGCAAACCGCCTAAATGTGCGTTTTATTTCTTATGAGTTCAACTTCCTTCTTTGTAAAAGGAAGATTGTGTTCTGTCCCTGTTCAAAAACAATATAATGTAGCTTTAAAAAGTCATCATTCTGAAAGCATCTTGTTTATGCAGTTTGCAGTCCTGTACTTCTGGTAGAAATACTGAAAACCAAATATCTCCATAGGGTGCTTTTATTTTAATATTATATATTACATAAGCTTTCGCTTTTATTACAAGTGAAAACTCCCTTGGTTTTAAATGTTCAAGTCCTGAGCTATATTTTCTAAAATGTGCCTGGCATTACTGGCCTCATGTTGTACCGAATTAAACTTTAGAAAGTTTTCCCTGTTGGGTACCTTAGTCAGAACAGAAACTCCTTTTTTGTACCAGGCATGGACATATACTGCCCCAGCCAAAATGAAGAGAGTTGCTATCGAATCAAATGGTTATCATTTCACAAGCGTGTGTATTTGTGTGTGTAGAATCTCCGGCATAAAAAGACTGGGCACTGCTGGAGTAAATTACACTGAGAATAATGTCGGCACAGAAGACACATCTCATACCCTGTGTTGGGTTTGCCAGGAGCGTTCCGGTGCTGAGATCATTGTAGTTCCATTATGAACCAGTGGGCAAATATTATGCCAGTATGAAGCCTCTGGGAAACTTGAACCTATTATTTCTTTTTTCTCCCAAAACCAGCTAAGTGAGACCTTCTCGGATTGTTCGGGGTCTGCTGGAGAATCATATTCCCATGTGCTGTTGTTGGCAGGGAGACAGCGAGGAAATCTGCAGCCAAGCCGACCTGAGCTGAGCCCAACTGATGAGACTCAAGCCTATTACAGTGCTTAGTGATCCCAGATGACACAATAGTCTGTCTCTCTCAGTCCGTCTCTGCGTATGTCTGCCTCTTTCCCTGGTTGTCATGTTTCTCTTCTAGAGTCTGGCTCTCTCTCTCTCTCTCTCTCTCTCTCTCTCTCTCTCTCTCTCTCTCCCTCTTTCTCTCTCTCTCTGTCTCTGCTCTGTCCGTTTCCGCATCTCTTGTTGCTCCCAGCTTCCTCACCCTATTTTTGCAGTCTCTCTTTGTCTTTCTCTCTCTGCTGACATGAGGCCAAATTAGTAGAGCAACATTAACTTCGTTATTACTCTGTTTGCAGGGCACATTCCTCATCTGGCCTGTTTTTAGTGCTTGTTTTATGTCACCTCTGCTGATCGTCACTGAGCTAAACGTGCAAGTTCATTGTTTGAAGGATGAAAAAAAATGAGTGCAGAGGATACAAATGCTAGAATTTCAATAACAGGGAGGAGTTCAAACCTTCAAATGACACACTGTAGATAGGCATCACCAGTGGACTGATAAGATGACTTACACACAATAATTGTGACACATAATTATTTCAAATGTTTTGGTTTGTATTTTTATTGATTTGGTTTGAATAGAAATGTAAGGATAGTTTTCAATATTTTCAATGTTTCTTCAAGTTTTAACAATGGCCTGTATTGAGTTTCTGTTTTAGTCTTAGTTAAATTGGCAATTCACTTTTTTGCAGTTGCCTTTGAATTCCCAGGTTTAACCTTGGCAACAGTTATAACAAAACTGTGGAACTGTGATTGTCCAGTGATATTAAACTGAATACAGCACCAAGTCCACTCAAAGTTAATAATGCGATGAAGAAGATCGTTTTCCAAAATTAATTTAATGTGACTGTAGCGATGCTTCCCTCTGTGATCCGGTCAATTTTATTTATAAGCCTAAAAAATGTCAAAGCACAAATTTGCAAGAATCTACACAATATAAGACACCCCCACTCCTCAAATACTGTTTGAGTACCAAAACTACGGAAAAGGCATAGACAGCCATAGCAAATGGTGTCCCCACTACACTGTGGTCATGTCATATGCTTTTAGCTGCTGTCTGAGCTCAATTCTACTCCTACACCGCCTCCTATATGCAGTATGATTGTATCCTTTGTGCATTGGTATAAAGGGAAAAGCCAGACTCCACCAGCAACAATAAAAACTACAAAATACAGAGAGGCAATTACAGAATATAAATATATTAAAAGTATACTTTACTTTTAATATGTAATAAATATCAAACCATGACAGTAAAAGATCGTAAACTTAAAACTTAAACTTAAAACCTCTATTCATACGGCATTTTATAGGAATTTATTTAGTTATTTTTTATATTACAGATTGTAATTTGCAGATAAAACCACCGTCATGGCATTCATATGGTATTTTCATATGGCATATGGTTTCTTTTGAAAGTAAAAGCTTTATGTTTATTTTATACGGTTAAATATGGATTAAAACTTAAAATCAACAGTAATATTATCCTTTTACTATAATAGTATAAGAAGTTATATCATTTATTATGGTAAAGTTCTTACAACCAGAACATCTGATTAGCCTATTAAACTTATCCTAAACTTGATATTTTATTGTTAAAATGTATGTAAAATTCAGAAAGAAATACAAACAGTTTTCACTTCATATGCATATGCCTTATAGCAAGTCTGAAAAAAGTCAGAAAGGCACAGCTTTGATTGATGCACCTCCTCTGGCTTATAGTACAATACCCTGTATCTGCTTGTCCCAGCCCTCTATTTCAGCTAAGGCTGTTACACCAAAAAGAAATCTTCTTGTGCTTCGAGAGATTTCCCTGAACATCATCCTTACATTCATGGAGACTTGGCTAGAATCTAAAATAAGACTGTGCAATTGAACATAGCTTGGTAGGGCAACACAAGTTACTGTTGTCTGACAGATTCCAATATGGCTGCCAAGATGGCATGTTACCTCATCTGAAACCTTCTTTTTAATAGAGTTTGCTCATTAGAATTTCCCATGTG